ACAAAATATATATTGTGTGTTGGAGTGGTCCAGACGCTACATGACTAATGATAGCAATGAACTTAATATTTTGCAAAATAATGAAAATAGACATTTTCTTATACATATATACACAATACAATGATTATTATATGACACCCCCTAACAACAACAACAAAAGTAATGTTTAAATTTATGTATATATTTTGCTACCTAACATGCAACAATTTTATTTTTTCATGCAACCTTTTTTATTTGTACATTTTCCCATCTGCAGATTACAGAGGATGATTTAAACAATGTTAAATTTGAACTCCAGAGTAATGATTGTCTGTATCTGATGACAAATATCATCTAGTGTTATGACAATGGATTGAGGAAATTGTCACTGTCAGTTGCATTTTATTCATAATGCTGTGTTTTAGAAGGAATACTTCAGGCATAATTATTATTAGGGGCTTTGCCATTTTTGGATTTTTGAACATGACGACCTCCACATTTCCTTCAATTTCACTATGAGAGAAAAACAGTAGCAGAGGAATCCGAATCTACAGGAGACATAGCAATATTATATTGTTTTGGTTTGCTTTGTTTTGTTTTGAGAGCTGGTTATGATTATTACCCGGGTTTATTGTCCTGTGTGGAAGTTTTCTGGTGCTTCTGTTGTGGTGTTTACAGTCTGAGGGCCAGAGTTCTCAGTGAACAGTATTTGTTTTTTTTGAGTGTGACTCACCATGACACTTGAAACCTGGTTCAACTTGGCATTTTTTTGAGCAGCCGTCTCCATCTAAGAGATTCCCGTCATCACAATCCTCAGTCCTGTGGGGGAGAGAGAGCGATGCCAAGGGTTACAGTTATGAAATATGTGGAAGGTCTTTGGCTATGCTTCAAAACACAAAAGACTCAAACAAATACTCAAAAAATATGAAACATTCTTTAAAAATGACTAAAGCACGTAACACGCAAAGCCTCTGACAGACCAGAAGTTTATACTGACCCCTGTAGTGTGCCATCACCACAGAAATGTTCTCCATGAGTGTAAACCAGGCCTGGGGAAAGTTCACTGAACAAACCGTCTGATTCCACCTGGATCCTGTACAGGTACTGAACGTCCCTCTGCACATCACTAAGCACACAAACACATTCAGAACAAAATCTACATAGTTAAGCAAAAAGCAAGCAGTGAGAGCATTAAGAATTTTAAATGAATGAATGAATGAATGAATAAATGAATGAATGATTAGTGGTGGGAATTTTTGGAGACTCTTTCTGCAGGTTAGTAATCGAATCATTCATTCAACCATTTTGTTCAAACACAATGATTCATCCAGGAGTGAAATGTGACCGTCTTTATGGGTGAGTTACAGGATTATTCCTTAAACAATGTTAAAACACTGTTTAAAAACACTGAATCATTCAGCAACAAGACACCACTACTGTGTGTGGCTCTGCATTGCAATGGTTCTGCTGTGGCTTTGTTTGAAACTATCTTTGTTGAAGCACTAAAAACCAAGTAACTTGAAATATTGCATCTAAAATATTTGTAATATTTAAAGTTACTCAACCCCAGGGCATCCAAGATGTAGGTGACTTTGTTTCTTCAGTAGAACACATGATGATTTTTAAGTCCAACCGTTGCAGTCTATCAGCCGTATAATGCATGGCAATGGTAACAAAATCTATGAGAGTACAAAAAAAACATGCACAGACAAATCCAAATTAAACCCTGCGGCTCGTGAAGACACATTGATGTCCTAAGACACGAAACGACCGGTTTGTACCAGAAACCGAACAGTATTTATATAATTTTTAACCTCTAATACAACACTATGTCCAACGGTCTTTGGGCGCGCACGGCATCCGGTGCATGAGGTGTGTACGCGCTCTAGCGTAGTTTACGTTAATGGGTGTGTTGATATCCAGCCGAAGAGCAATCAACCATAACTTCAGGCGAGCAGGCTCAGAAGTTGGGAATACGTGGAAAGTCACCACTCCAAAATGAGTTTTAGTTTTAAATCGGTTTGAACAATCCGGATAAGCGCAAGTAAGTACCATTTTGATTAGCCATTGTACCTACAAACCCGATTCCAAAAAAGTTGGGACACTGTACAAATTGTGAATAAAAACAGAATGCAATGATGTGGACGTTTCAAATTTCAATATTTTATTCAGAATACAACATAGATGACATATCAAATGTTTAAACTGAGAAAATGTATCATTTTAAGGGAAAAATAAGTTGATGTTAAATTTCATGGCATCAACACATCTCAAAAAAGTTAGGACAAGGCCATGTTTACCCCTGTGTGGCATCCCCTCTTCTTTTTATAACAGTCTGCAAACGTCTGGGGACTGAGGAGACAAGTTGCTAAAGTTTAGGAATAGGAATGTTGTCCCATTCTTGTCTAATACAGGCTTCTAGTTGCTCAACTGTCTTAGGTCTTCTTTGTCGCATCTTCCTCTTTATGATGCGCCAAATGTTTTCTATGGGTGAAAGATCTGGATTTGCAGGCTGGCCATTTCAGTACCCAGATCCTTCTTCTACGCAGCCATGATGTTGTAATTGATGCAGTATGTGGTCTGGCATTGTCATGTTGGAAAATGCAAGGTCTTCCCTGAAAGAGACGACGTCTGGATGGGAGCATATGTTGTTCTAGAACTTGGATATACCTTTCAGCATTGATGGTGCCT